TCGCGATCTTACTAAGGAAGAGTCAATAGAATATCTAGTCAACAAACGTAAAATCAAAGAAAAAGCAGCAAATTTTTATATAAATTAGTTAGTAAAAGTTTTATCGATCTAATGTTTGTTGCTGACGAATTTCTAGCTAGACATGCATTTAAAGATAAGAATTGGTTTGAGTTTATGCAATTTTATTTAGGATTAATTGCATAGCTCTTTTCTTGCAGGTATTAAACAGGCAATCTTAAGTATTACTGAGAAAAAACTTATAAATGCACAAATCTTCCCAAAACAAAAATATCATAAAGAAGTGTACCAAATTATCAATTCTTTATTGACCACCAAAGAGCTTGAATATATAAAATATTTACAATTTTTCAATAATGTTGAGGAAGCTGATGAAGTATTAGGAAAGAATGGTTTTGCATACTATTTGAGAAAAATATTGTTAAATTTCAGTCCAAATCGATAGAATTATACATTAAGACAAAAGCTGATGATTTTGATGTTAAGCTAATTGATCTCATCCCTGCTGATGAAGATGATGCAACAATTAATTACTTATTAATTATTTATTAACACTTATAACTTAAATAGATTAAAAAATAAAAAATCATGATTTAATTAATAAGTACTTATTAATTACTTATTAATTAAGATTAATATTTAAAAACTTAAAAAGTCCCATCACTAATTGAGGAAATACCGATATAAAATAAACTACTACAAAATCACACCTCACACCACGTCACACATCATGCGAATCATATATCAAAATAAAACAATTAACAAGCATCATTTAACTTGTATTATTCTCCAGCAACGCTTTTCGCCAAAGTCAATGTCATATGTGCACATTATTTATAATAAATGATTCTATGTCATGTTAACACTGATTTTTTCATAATAATTATTTATAACAGAATAGGAATCTATATTTAAGGATTGGAATCGATTCCAAAATGTAAAATCGACTTTAGAATCGATTAATCTCGAGATTCAATTTTCGGTTCGATTAACCATGTCTAATCGAAACGCAGCGAGATTTTCATTTGATCACAATTTGAACTCTGATAATAAAAAAAAAATTAATTGTTAAAAAATAGATTTTTACAAAAACTTTTACTATTGAAGTTTTTAAATTCTAAAACAACTGATACTGCTTCTTACCAACCCGCCCATTTGATGTTTAGGATTACGCAGTATGTGTTTCCTTAGTTTCATATATAATTTGATTTTTCTTTTAAATTCTTTTTTTCTTATTTTTTTCCTTGATCTAAATCTGAAATAATAAACTTTTTCTACGAATCAATCATTTGAAAGTCAGTTTAAATCTCCTGAAATAGAGTGATACGAGTGATACGGTTGACCAAATGAGTATAGAATATCACGTGAAATGATTTTGAGTATATTTTTGTTATACAACAGGCCTAAACTAACCTTAACCTGCCAATATTAACGTTAACTTCTAGAAATCAAGTATAAAAAGTCATACTCAGCATCAATTATACACCATACAATACTCATACACTACAACTTTCCGTCTTACCTCTGAAATAACCCTTTCTCGTAAAAATTTATGAATTGTCAGTTAAACCTTCTATTAAAAAGGTTATATTTATGATAGTGCGTGTGCAAGAAACGTAAAGTTAAGAAGCATAATCTAGGTTTCAATTAAACCTTATATAACTGGTGAACGAGTTTTATTTATAAATTTTTATATTTGTGACGTACAAATTGAATTCAAATATATGATGTGTGCAAATCGACGTAACATTTAAGAGTGTAAAAGCCTTGTATTTATATAATATATTTTTTCACAAATGAAAAAAGTTAAAAGTAATACTAACGGTTCTTCGCTTGCGTGTTTTATTTATAATAATCAAATCAATGTAATTTTAATTCCTATTCCTTCCCGTTGTTCCTACTGCTGTCAATCTCTGACCGTGAGAACAATGTAGAATGACTCGCTAAGATATGACAAGTGGTATGGAATGATCTATATATTTCGGCAGCCTTTATTGGTTGTCATAATAGTTTTTGGACAATTTTTAAAAGGTGTTAAACTTGCAATTTAAAGTATTTAACTAGATTTGGCAGTTTTCAAACTTCGTTCTCAGAGCAGAATTAATTTTTTAATGCAGAAATAGAATTAAAATAGAATTTATCATAATAGTTTATAAATTTATCGCTAATTTATAA